ACAGCTCCACGTGAATAGATGTTTGAAAGTGCTTCACGCAACTGAAATCATTGAATTTTTTATAATCTTGTAAATTGGATATTCGACCAATTCCTCTTTGACCGTTGTAAAAAAAATATTACCTCTTTCAGGGCTACCACACCAACAAGTCGCCCCTTCTCCGTGACATAGGCGTGGTTCAAAGCCAGTAACGAGAACAATGTATGCACCTGGAAAGAGATCAAAAGTTTTGTTTATGGTGTCCCTCTCATAACTTTTTTCGAAGTGTTTGCGTCACTCTGCCCGTCAACAGAACCTTACCTTGTAGAGGGATGTTCCCTTGACCAGTTGGAATGGAGCGGGATCAATGGCAACATCATCCAAATCAATCTTTGAGGCAAGAATTTCGGCTCTCTTCGCCATGGAATGCTGGAAATATAACACAAATATAGCTAAAGTATAATAATCAGCTTTAAGGCACACTTTCAGCAGCTGCTTCTTCAGATATACAAATAAAATCAATCCAAAAACTGCCCTCAGCCGGTTTTTAGATTTTATTCTGCGAAGAAAATGGCTTACAAATGCAATAAATTCAAATAAGCGCGTTTCAACAGAAGTCTTTAGATTGCTGGTTTGCTGACACTATTTCGCTACATCAGGCTACTATTATTTTTCCAGTTTCCAACTGCAGGTCATCATTATTAGTACTCGGTAGTTTTGAAATGGTTGCATTATAAACTAAAGTCTATCACTGTCGCGACTCCGCGATGTGAGCGGCTACTCGTAAAAGTCTGCATTGTATGCTGCGTAGTCGGTTGCGTCTGCTGTATTCGCCCGAGGACCACTTTGGCTAAAGACGCGGCCTGGGAGGGCATATAATTCTGCGCTGATGAAGTCGACTGCAAAAATCGTCCTTGTAGGGTGAACGTCAGCGAGCGTCAAGCATGCGGCCGCAGGCTGCATATGTGATCAAGCGCCAATGCTAAACGTAGCTCGCTGGCCACTGATTTAGCGCGCGCCATACGCTGGCGGGCGTACACTCTACAGCGATGTGGACGATTTTGTGCACTAGACCATAGCGCATTTGCCTTTTTGATCCTTGTCTTTATCGATTCGTTGTTATATTGTGCTCGGCCTCGTTCTTAGCAGCTCCCGCATGTTGCGATTGTTATGTCTCTTGGTATTGGACGCGCAATAACGCGAGAGGGTTCTCTGATTCGTAGATGATCATCCTTGCAAGAGAGGAGCTAGGGTTGCAGCGTGCCTTACGGACTAGGCTTCTTGTGGTCAACCCTAGCAGAGGATTCTATCACATAATGTATGGAATAAGCCTTCAGAACATCGGAATTACAGTA